CTCTCTCTCTCTCTCTCTCTCTCTCTCTCTCTCTCTCTCTCTCTCTCTCTCCACAGAGATACGCCTGCAGCTTACAGAAAGAGAGCAAAGGTCTGCTTGGTACATTCAGCCGTCGACTCACCAGAAACTCGATATCCCCCGTCATCTTGGTTCAGGAGAGATCAGCGGGGCAGGAAGATGAGCCACCGAAGGACGGAAAGGACACTCCGGATGTGAGCGGAACAGCTTCCCATACGCATGCTCGCAGCTCAAAATACAGACGGATTGGGAGACTGATTAATGACGTCTCCTTTATCTTCTTTCTTTGCACCTGGAGTCTCTGTGCCACCTTGTTTTTCTTCAAGATAAAGAAGATATTCTAAGTCACTATCCAATTTATAAGTGCAGAAACGCTTTTTGGAGGTCGAAGTGCATATACTACATGCTAATGTCTCTTAAAAGTGTGTTCAGTATTCTCAATATCAATCAATAATATATTACACACTTCCAGGGGGGGGAAAAAAGAAAGAAAGGAGGTCGCTGGGTTTGGGGGGTCTTCCATCTTTGTGATATAGATGGAACTAGGCCGAATGGTACTAAATGATGCTTACAAAAGTGTCTTAAAGTCAGCAATGTTGTTCATCTTCTGCTTTTCAATTTGACATGCAACTTACAAAGAACTAATGCTAGTATCAAATTCATTTTTGAATTTGTTACTGGACTCAATTCACGTTCATGACTTGATAGCGTGACTACAATATTCCATTGTTACGATAAACTAATGTCAGATTGTTGTTTTCTTGGATTACATAATAATATGTGTAGTTCATATTCTTAATATTTCTTCTCTCGTCGTTTTAATGTGAGCATTAGTTGTTTTGTTGTTGCTGTTGTAGTTGTTGTTGTTGTTGTTGCTGCTGCTGCTGCTGCTGTTGTTGTTGTTGTTGTTGTTTTTGTTTGTTTGTTTGTTTTTAAATTATTTTTGTAGATAAGTATTAGGTTATTTAAAGGGTGGAAATTCAGAGAGGACCGATCCTATCCTGTTGAAAGCTCTGAAAACTCCTCAAAACGACTAAATATTTTGTTCCGTTTGTGAATAAAGGCTAGTCAATATTTATGTGGCGATGATCTGTTGTTGGTGCTTTCGTTTCTTTGTTTCTTTCTTCTTTTTTAAAAGACAAAACGTTTGTATTTATAATCCTTTCATCACCCTCCGTTACCCATTTCATTGTGATCCTCTGCGATCATATGACCTTATGCAGTTGCGAGCGCCGTAAAACCCCTACTTGACTAAACTAAATGCGTTTGTCCCCTGCTGTTCTGCGATCTTGACTCCTGAAGTATCGTTGATCATTATTCCGAAATACGTGTGTACACGTCTGTCTAAATAAATTCACTTCATACGGTTTTCAAACTACTATTAATCAGAAACAAACGTTTTCCTTCTCTCCCTTATGTTTCTTTGCATTTGTTACACTGTACCGTGACCCAGCTCTTTAATCAGATCCCATTTCCAGTGGGCTTTTCAGGTTTTCGGTTGTAAAATTTATACTAATATGTCGAATGTTACACGCACAGTTTCAATAGAACATGTCCAGTTCTGAAGCCAGTCATTGTGGAATGTATATCATTATATAGAGTTTACACTTTTACTTTAAAAAATCTGCCCAGCCCTGAAAAGTAGACGCTGGGTAATCTCATTTACAACAAAGATAAGGGTCGGACTAGGGAGCAGGCCTCGTGGCCCATCCCATGAAGCCCCATCACAGCAACCCATGAAGCTCCATCACAGCATCCCATGAAGCCCCATCACAGCATCCCATGAAGCCCCATCACAGCATCCCATGAAATCATAGGCCCACCACCCCATTCCACGACCCTGTCTGTCATGTCTGGCCCAGGCTGAGTGAGATGCTATATCCTAGCCGCAGCAGAAAGGCGGAGATTTTAGTCAAGTAGACTTCTTCACTTGGGAATTGAACTCTTGTATTTTGCGTGACACAGCGAAGGGTCTAAAACTATTCGACCACACGGCAAAATTAACAAACAAAACAATTTTTAAACAACAAAACAAAACAAACAAATCAAATTTCCAGACATAAAACGTGTTCAGATGGGGGGAAAAAAAAGAACGCATTATTTTTTTTTTCGAGACAAAGGAAAAGGAGCTGATTTTCAGGAGCCAAAAAGATTAATAAAAATGTCTGCAATGTGTATCATGAAGACCGTTTGGACGGACCTAATAAACGTCAGAGAAGAGGCACACCTGTAAAGTCAGTGTCTACAACTTACAGGTGAGGTCTGTTATCAATCATGATACAAGTAATACCTACAGATCACAGGTAACCCCCCCTCCCCCCCCTTGTACCATAGAAGCATTAATTGAACAAAAAGGCCTGAATAAAAAAGGAAGGGGATGAATGGAAAGAATATGATATTCGAATCGAATCATATCACACGATCACTCCAACAGGGTTATCCCCCACCAAAGTGTGTGTGTGTGTGTGTGTGTGTGTGTGTGTGTGTGTGTGTGTGTGTGTGTGTGTGTATGTGTGTGTGTGGGTGTCGGGGAACTTGCTGAGTAGGACGTATGACCATTTCAGTGTGTATGTGTGTGTGTGTGTGTGTGTATGTGTGGGTGTGGGTGTCGGGGAACTTGCTGAGTGGGACGTATGACCATTTCATACTGCTTACAGGGTAGGGATACAGTGTGTGTGTGTGTGTGTGTATGTCTGTCTGTGTGTGTGTGTGTGTGTGTGTGTGTGTGTGTGTGTGTTTGTGTTTGTGTTTGTGTGCTTGTGTGTGTGTGATCAACGTGTTATCATTATCGTTTTACTGTTAAAAAATAGAGCAGTCAGAGGCAGTGGTCAACAATTTAATGATAGGAGCTTTAGACTTCAAAAAGATTCTGGATATGCAGTGTGCCGACAAAAACATCAAGTACAACTGTCTGGGCCAGATGCAAGTTCCAGCTAATCAGGCCATTGTCCATGGTTGCGTCAAGAATACGGTTGAAGCTTTCAAGAATGAGTCGCTACACAGGGTAAATAAAATAAATGCAATTAGTTACAGAAAGGAATACATTACATTTCACTGGTCCCCGTGGGGAAATTTGGGTTACAATAGCAAACACACGTACATAAATACATCTTTAGAAACGCATGTACATGTATACATAAATACACACATAAATACATACATAAATACACAATATTACACCGATACTGACCAATTTCACAAACATGCCATTGTCACTCACCTTGTCCTTGGTGTTGGGGTCACTACAGTTAGAACATGTCCATCTCTGCTCCCACCCCTCTTCAGGATCCATCCCCGTGTCTGTCTGCTTACTGTCTCCATCACAATCTGGTTGGAGATACGTCGGACTGGTCCGCACAGGTCTACTACTACTACTGCTACCACTTTTGATATGATCATACCTTTCATTGCATGTTCTTTTCCTCTCCTGCCACATGGTACAGAACCCAACCCCTTTCTGTGGAGACAAAAAAAGCCAGCTTTTAGGACTCAGTGCAATGTATCAGGATGTTTGCAAACCAATGCAATTCTGCGGGTAAGTTGGTCTACTTGGTACTTGTTCCATCATTTCTATTTATTTTCTCTTCCATTTGCATGATCTATTCCTTTCCAAACACGATAACGTTATCATCATTTTCAACTTGATGTATTTGCTCCACTTGTGACTACAGCAAGATTATGTATGTATAATGTATAATCGAAATAACAGAAAAAAAGGAAATAACAGGCTCTCTCTCTCTCTCTCTCTCTCTCTCTCTCTCTCTCTCTCTCTCTCTCTCTTTTTTTTTTGTCTTTTTTTTTGTAAGTGATTTACGGCGCTCTCAACTGCATAAAGTCGTATGAGCTCATGGGACACATTAAACATTTTCAGTAGGTAGGAAATTTTGAATTTTGCCCGCGTGGCGGCAGAAGCCTTCTTGTATCGATTATGGACCACCAAGAGATCTTTAAAGTGCGCAACTTGCACACAGGACCTCCGAGATTTTTAGCCCTTGTCTGAAAAGGCTAGGTGAAGATCTTTCATACCATAAAATCAGGGGTGTGGCTGAAAGACAGCAGTAAGAAGGAGCCAAGGAGTAGGCCTAGCACTAGAAAGGCTGCAGAAAGTGTCAGGAACCCAAAGGAGGGGGCAAAGGAGGTGAAGGGGTAGGGCAGAAAGTGGAGACGAAAGCAGGCTACAGATATTTGTTAGAGAGCAGGAAAAGATGTGAAAGGAGAACAAATTTTAAGAAGAAAATTTTTAGAGAAGAGAATTTTCTGTCGCATCCAAATTCGAACCCAGGACCTATTGAATTAGAGGCGAACACATTAACTTCTAAGCCATGAGAGCCCCCCCAAATAACATGTTGTAAAATTCACGAGATGCTACAATGATTATTCAAAGGCTTTTGATAAAGCTGGGCATGATGAAAATCACAAATTAGAAATAACTGGACCAAGATGGACTTAAGAGCTATCAGAACCTTGTACTGCTACCAGAATTCTGCTCAGGCTGAGCATAGTAAATACGAGGGTGAATCAAAAAAGTAATACAAGTTGCAAAGTATGTATCTCGAAAAATGTTATTGCTACAGGCCTGAAATTTTCACAGTACTTTAATAAAATATTTTTCTCAACTTTTCACGTTGGATGCCAGCCTCCACAACTACTTCTGGAAGACACAGGGGTATTCAGCTTCTGACAGCTTCTCGGCTCTAAATTTACAGCTCTTGCTAGGTCCTGAATGCATTCTAACTTTCGTCGAGCAAACTTTTCTTTCGGTATGAAAAATAAGAAAATGCCAATGCAGCTAAATCAGGACTATGGGCTGGATCAGACAAAACTTGGATCCCTTGATTTTATTGTGCACAAGGCCAGGATAATGACCATAGAGGACCCTTTTTATGATTCTGCACAGATGAGCATTATGAACATTGATCTAAAATATTTCTCTGAAGTTTTAATGAGAGAAATTTGACATCGCAACCCAAATAAGTATTGCGTACGAAGAATCTGTGGTGACGTGTAATTGCAGTTGCTTCGTTATTAAGTTCATTATGATTACCATAACAAATTAAGAATGGTGCTCTCGGCAGATCTGCCTCTATAAGAATTTCATCGAAAGAAAAGAAATGAAATTTTAATAATATGGCTCTAAATCTATTAAAAACAAAATCAATCAGGAAGAGAGTAATAGTATACACTTCCTAGTACAATAACTGAATAGGACATAGAGGTCATTTTGATGTCACTGGAAAAAATACAGGCGACAAAAAAGCAGAGGTGGGTTAACCCCATCCCTGGGGTTATTTTGTACCCCCGGGGTTGTATTCCTCACATTATAAGATACTTCTAATACGAAGATCTCTTTGAAACTTTCAGTATTTCTCAAAAAATCATTTTGACAGATCGCTATTCGAAGCTTACGGATCGGATTAACAAGTTTGGAAATTTGGTGGCACAGAGTTCCCCACGTCGTATGGATACGACAGTAAAACATGACGTAC